TACCAATATGGCGGCTGCTTTGACACATCCTTGTAATGAACAGCAGTGGCTAATGAGGTATAAGTACAGACTCACAGAACTAGCATGGCTGCAGACTCTTAGGCTGCATTCACACTGCTGGCAGTGTCCCAATTTAGATTTTTTTTGCTCATATGTGACGACTCAGATCTGATTTTGAAATGACATGCACAAATAATATTGAATCTAATCTTTTCAAGTCTGATTCAGACCACTTTCATATGCAGTCCAGGTCTGATTTTTGACCATGACCTGTACACACTGGAATCTGACATGGACCACATTGAAAAAATAATGTGAATGGCCAAACAAAAAGAAATCAACTCTAAGCAATAAATCCGAATTGAGCACTAAGGTTGCAGTGTGAACATTGCCTTAGTTAACTTGAACAATTACCACATTAACCTTTCCATAACACAAACAAGTGATTTTAGTTGAGGGAATAGCTGAATAGAACGTCACTAAACATTTCGCAGATATGTTTATAATGAATATTGTGACTGATATTTTAACCCCAAACCCTTTTTTTGCTAATTGCAAACTGCATGTGAACAACATATAGGAAAAAAGGAGGAGGAGGGCATACCAACTAGTGTTTGGAATTTATACTAGCAAAAAAGTAGTTACTTATATATCCCATCTTGTTGTAATCAAGCTCCCAAAAATATAGAAAAAATATCACATGAAGGTGCGAGACAACAAAATCTTTTCAGTTAACAGAAGTAAACATTTAATGTAAATACTTCGGCCAGAAGGATTATGATTTAGACTTAATCTGCACTACCTGAAATGCACAAATATTCACAGAGAAGTGCTGTATACAGAGCAGCCTCCAAAGAGTACAAAAGTGCAAATACCAGTAAAACAGTAAACAGTAAACAATCAAGGCACTGAAGGCTCAGAGTTGCAGTTCAAAGACGACAGACCAAATCATCTAATCTGGAGAAGAATGGTCTTGTGAGAAAAGCAATAAGAGCTGAGGAGAGAGGTGGACGGGATGTTTAAATTCCAGATAAGAGTGCAGTGGAGTGTAAAGAGGAGAGAGAGAGATTATGATTCAGAAGGTATAGGTGATTGGAGGTCTTATTTCAAGCCAAGAGATTTCAGTCTTTGATGAAAAAATGTGGAGGTCAAGTATAGAATATGAGAGTGTGAATATAACAAGATGTAACATCAGTCATTCTAGGCCTTATATGTCTAACTGGTACCTTACCACAGCAGGACTTTTCTCTATTTTTGTCTGAGTGTGATTTAAACTGCTCATTTTGGGACAGTTCTTTTTGTGGTAACAATAAAACAGCATTAAAAAAAACAACTTGTCTCCTTAATTGGGGGGAATTAACATAAACAGATGTACAATCATGTATCAGGAGCTGTTTGTTCTGAAAGTATTTTTTTTTAACACTGCTTTAAAAGCCCATGCACACCGATGGTTCCCCCACATGGTGTTTTTACTTGATTAGGCCAGTTCTCAGGACTGTGTGGGCATGTACAAATTGCTCATTCTCTCTCCTGTTAGTTTTCTTGTTTTCTTTCCTGTTAAGGCAGCTAGCTCCGTCCAACTTGAACCCAGAGCTCTAATTTGCCAGAATAATTGAAAACACCTGTGCAGGTGTGCAGGGCCTTTAATGATCAATTTCAATATACCACAACACAAAAACTATTTTCTGGGTAAATTCACATATACCTATAGGTTTATGTAGGTAAACTGTGGTTGTAACTGGGAACAAAACACTGCCCCATGGTTGGCAAATGCATCCATAACACATCCTTATAAGGTTTCTACAGTTATTTTCAAATTTCTATATTGTGTTTATAGTTTTTCATCAAGAGCGACGATGCAAAGTAACAATGTCACGTTAAAGATTTATTGTCCAGCTGAGGCTGGAACATCAACAATCATCAGCTATAATTTTGTGTGGGCTGCAAACTCCCGATTATGTTTTTCACTGCATCTATGCACAATCTAAGTCTGCACTGTAGTGCATCTTAGAATCGAGAGATTTCCACACCTCTAATGATCTGCCTCACAGAGCTGCTAGCATAAGTATAGACTTGGACAAGTTTGTATCTCAGACTTTTTATCAAAGAACAAGATATTGTCTAATGCAGTTGCTAATCTTCTGCACTTGATTCATGTCCATACCAGCCTTGGAATCGATCCAACTACCAGTCACCTAACATTGTACTAAATTAACTTTTACATCCAGGATCCTGGGTGCCCAAAATAACTCATAAACAGCTGACCCTTCTGGCTTGAAACAGCCCACTCAGACAGTGCAGAAACCAATCTGCATCACTAACATTTTCTTAGTGAGCTGCACTTCTGTATTTCCAAGACAAACTTCTCTTACTTTGACTTGAATAGTACTGAACTCCAGCAGCACTGTTTACCTCAAAAAAATATTTTCCCACTCTTCACTCCTCCGCTCGGTACCATACAAAGCCGAGAAAAGTGACTCACTCTTTTACATAAAACCCTGGATGAAGCTGTCATTATGGGGCAATTATTTTAGAGAAAAGTTACTGTAGGAGAGGCATTGATTCTTTCAGCAGCAACTCCCACCTCCTGCTGTCGCACAGCTGGGCGGCTGTTCTTTCTTTCTTCAGCAGGTCTTTGATTACAGATCTCCACTGTATTGGGAAAAAGAGCTGTAATATTGAGGAAATTATCTTGAATAAGGTGAAATTGAGATGCATACAGTGGATAATCACCAGTCACTCAGGCAATCATGTCCAAAGGGTAGAGGTGCTGATTGGTGGCCTGCTGCACATGCTCAGAGACAGCTGTGTTTGTGTTTCGCACTGTGTGGGCACTCACCGAATACAAATGTGAACATACAATCATACAAATGACATGTTTGTATGTATTATCAAGTGTCACCGCTCACTGTTTCTCTTTTTAGATGCACACAAAGCTGTTGATTATTTACACACAAATACCATAGAAATAAAGTAAGATACATTCAAAGAGAATAAATGAATGGTTAGCTTTGGTCTTAAACTGTACATAAAAGTTTGGATTACCACCCGGTCAAAGCAGCTCCCTCAAAGCCCCAGACCCCGAGGAAGTGGTGGCACCACTTAATTACAACACTGAAGGGAACATCTGTATTGTTACCTAATCTAATCTTGACGAACCATCTTGCAGAGGGGAACTTTGTTAAAGATCCCCTCCAGACATGTGTCAGTACATACAAATGATGCGTCTGATTTGGTGTGTTTGTTTTTTTTTTCATTCTCAGTGTACGTGCACTGCCAGCTTCAAGTTTTCACCGAGCAACAGAGAAACTTTCCACTTTCAGCAGATGAATGGGAAAACATCCTTCTACTGTCAAACTCTTCACATAAATGATTCTGCACAGTGAAGCTCAGACATCCAACTGTAGGACCAAGAGGGAGAAGAGATTTTTTTTAACATCAGGGGGATTTTAAAATCTAGTTTTAATAGCCTTAGTGTTTTAGTTCACATTGTGCTTACATAATGTATTTTCCTAAATGAAATTGTGTTTTTATCAAGTCCTCTACTGATCAAAAATAATATTTTTTTAATACACAAAAGACGAGAGAAACAGGTAGTCAGCAGGGACCCACAGCTTGTTAACGTTTCACTTCTGCCATTACTTGTACTTATACCTGCATCTGGTATCTATCTTTTTATTCATACTGTATTTTTCTAAGCATATTCATGTCACACTGTTAATAATGTCAACATACTGTTCATACTTCACATATATTAGCGATTATTCTATATGCACATTTACTGCTCTTTGCACTTAGATGCTAAACTGCTTATTTTCAGTTGTCACTCAAGCTTCAATATTTTTCCAAGGCAATTCATGCTGTGTGGTTGACTGACACTTCTTCTTCAATTGTATTTCCATCTATAAACAGTATTTAGTTCCTCTCCATTCACTGTTTCATACCTTCTTCCTGTCTCTCTTCCATCTTTTCACTTATCTACAGTACTTCACCTTTCTCCTGCCTCTTCTCCCCAGCTTCTCCACATTATAATCATCTTGTTTCCTCTCGTCTTGATGTGATAATTAATATCAGAAGAAATGGGGAAGAGCAAGGCTCTGCAGGGTTTTATATACGCAGCCAATCAACAGACAGCCTCCTGGAAAAATATCCGTAATTTGTTTTTCCACTGATTTTTCTTCTCTCTGAACTGAGAGCTCATCGGAAAGACACAAACATATCATTCATGTGGAAATTATTCACAATGTGTTTCATACAAATGATGCAACTCATCATGCTTACAAACTGTTTAAAAAATGGTTGTTGATAAATTAGTATAATCAAATCTAACCAATAGAGTCAAACTGAAACAGTAAATGCAGCAGAAATACAGAGGTGAAAAGATGTGTGTGTGTGTGTGTGTGTGTGTGTGTGTGTGTGTGTGTGTGTGTGTGTGTGTGTCATTGATCCTCATCCATATAAGATAGTGCCAACAGCTTTAAGGAACAGGAGGTAATATTATGTGTTGTTTAACAGGAAATGAGATTGAGGAAGAGAAAATGAATGAAGATGGGGGGTGATATGAGAAAATAAGCATAGGAAGAAGGTCAGGACTCAAAGGTGTTTTTACTCATCTATTCTATTCTAGTTTCTTCTTTATACTCACCAGATCAAAGGGCTTCACCATAAAATTGACATCACAGATTCTGTTTATTCAAAAAATTCATCCATTGAATTTAGTTTTTTTTTTTACAAAATAAAACATTTCTGTATATGTGTGCCATTTTAAGTTTTTATGTTGCTATGAACTCTATAATTTTATTTTATGTTGTTGAACTTATTACTTTTTAGAGACATGCTCAGAACGTTTAGTTTATATCTATTTTATCATATAATTTTATATTATATGATATTTTATACCATATAATATTTTTTTGGTACTACTACAACTACTAACAATAATAAAAAAAATAATACCCGACATCATAAAAAAAAAGAAAACACAAGACCTAGATAATACTCCTATTATTCAACAGGCATAGCTCAGACGCCTTGTCATCCTCTGAAGGACCCTTCATAATTCCAACATGGCGGCGTCCCTTCGGATGTCCTGTGCCCTCCGCATCACAATCGGAGGTGAGTTATTTTTCTTTCTTATCATCCGCAGCGTCGGTAAACCCGTTCAGTGTATCCGTCGGAGTATGTGGACTCTATGAACGTTTAGCAGTGAGCCACTGTGAGACACTGCTGCTGCTGCAGGGCTCAAACAGTCACTTCAGGTTGCGTGTTCGTCGCGTGTGTCAGTGCTCTCTGGTCGTTGAACTGTTGGTATAATGTAAGCACATAATGTCATAAACTGTGGACATGTTAGTGTTGGTGATGAATAGTTCGCTCTTGTTTGTGGTAAATAGAAGTTATCCCCAAAGTAGCCTTGAAATGCTATGGTTGTATTTCCCCTCCACACCAAACTTCATTCAAAATAGTTTCAATTTAATGTCGCCTTGCTTGTTAGTAAATGTAGACGGCCCTGATAAAATAACTTCAACTTGGTTATGCAATGGTTGAATATATTCTTTAATTCGGCACACTTACACCATGCTTATGTAATCTGGATACCCCTTTATTTCAGTAACAAGGCTTTCGGGCTTTACTTTCCTCACTGCTTTCTGCTTCTGTAGTTTGATAATGGGTAGACGAATTGAGGGATGTAATAGTACAACCCTTTCATTTATAATTTTTAAGTTCAGTTAATTGTCCTTCCTAATGTTTAGTGTTTTCTGTGTGTGTGTTGTTCATAGCTGTGTCTTTGTATGTTAAACTTTGTTGTTATGTCACTACATAATGCAGTTGTAATGCAATTCTCTTCCCTTTGGTGGACGTCTTTCTTTTTCAGGTGCAGCACCGCTCCGTACCATAGGGGGAGCAGTTCAGGCATCCCAGTTGGTGAGAAGAGCCTCAGCTGCCTCTTTCCAAAGAAACCCTGCACTTCCACTCTACCCTGCAACAACATGGCAGCAAACCAGGCATGGCAGCTTCTTCAACAAGTGTAAGCACATAAAGGATTATTTACAAAAACCCCTCGTTGGAACAGTTCCGTCATAATTTGTCAGCTACAGCCCAAAGTGTATTTTATTTTATTTTGATTTATAAAAGCACCTGTAAGCTTGATTTACATAGTAAGTGATCATTTATTGCTTCAAGTTGTTGTGGCTACAAAATGGTGTTGTTGTTGTTACTTGGATTGCTTCAAGTTAATCCAACGAGACAGCACCTTACAACAAAAATGTCTACATTTTGGGAAATGCATTGTTTACCAGGAGTCCTTAGCGTCGTCTTTTCGCTACTTTAAAATGAGCCCATCTACTGATGATGCAGGTCGCCTTCCGTGGAGGCCGCCACGTTTAACCGGCTTCTACAGTAGCCCAGAACAGACATACCAAACTCTTCTCCTTTTTTAAATGTTCACTCTTGCTTTTTCTGACCATAATAAATACACTATGTAGCCAAAAGTATGTCTGACGCCTCCGTCCTCGTACTTATTTGTTCTTTTGGTCTAGGGTTGCTTATAATGGTTTTGAGATAAGATGTTCAGCAATCACACATGGTTGTAATGTCAAGGTGTCCACATTCTTTTGGCCCTGTATTGTATGTTGGAGTTGATTTTCCCGTCAGCAGATGCAGGTTCATGTTAGCAGAGCTTGTTTGGACAGCATTTCAGTTTGATGGCAGTCTTTTAAAGGTCCGTATAAGGAGCTGTCATACATCCTCTCTTTCTCTCAAACACTCAGTGACTCAGTATCTGGGTTCGTATTTCTCCAAGAAGTCTTACATATAATATTTATTCTGACTGTGTACTGTTATCGTCCAGTTTTTTCACTGTGTGAAGCGTTTTCCGATGGGTCCTAAATCTGTGGATATACTGCAGGTCCCTAACTGGCTCTACTGTATATCCACTTTAGGTGCCAGGTTTTTGCAAACATTAAGAGTTTATTGTATTTTAATTAGTGTCCCTAGGAAATCCCATATGTCACCTGTCGGACGTCTTTATTCCTGGCCGTTAGAGCCCCCAGAGTCCATACATCCTCAGAACAGCTGGCTTTAGCGTGTCGCTTAAATGCAGCTGCATTACTCCTGATAAATTACATTCATAGTCTTCTTCAATTGTAGAGTGGAGCTAAACTCACAGCTGTGAAGGTGCAGCAGGTGAGAAAATGGATTCAGGTGAAAAATGAGGACACACTGTCAAGTTGTAAATCTGCACTGTTGGCAGCATTTTGGCTTTTCAGTCAGGGAAGAAAGGAAGTGGTCTTAAGAGAACTAGTCAATGGTAATTTACAGTATAGAAGCTGCTGCCAGTCATGTGGCATTGGTCTCAAGTAATTTATGTCAGTTATTTTCCCTGTCAATTTATCTATTGATTATTTTAGTCAATTATTCGGTGAAAAACGACATTGACAGTATCATAGAGAACAAAGTGACATCTTTACAGGTCCTGTTTTATCCAACCAGAAATCCAAAGCTCAACTCAAAAAAAATACATTTACTGTAACGTGAGGCCAGAAAAGCTGCAAATTCACACATTTGAGAATCTGGAACTATCAGATGTTGGCATGCTTTATTACTTTTAATGGTTTACACAAAATCAAGGAAAAAAATGTTTCTCTTCTTTTTTTTTGGTTTTAACTATTTGATTGATTGTTGAAGCTCTACAGTAATTAGAATAACATGACTGTGATTTATTGATGTTATGTTTGTTTCTTCGTGTGTGTGTGTGTGTGTTTACAGTGACTGCTAACGAGTTGTGGAAAGGTGTGTTGGCAGAATCGGGTGCTGGAGGCAGGAAGGGCAGAGGAAAGCGATCCAAACGCAAACAGAAGACGGACTTGAACAGAGGACAGAACATCGGTGAAGGTGAGACATTATGTGTCTGTCTCTGACATTTTGTGTCTGTGAGCCGTCTGTCTTTCCTTTAGCCTCTGCAGATGTTTGTCTTGACTTAGAAAATCTCTTCTATTGAACTTTTTCATACCTTTTACAATTTAAAATGTGATTGTCATTATTTTTCGTGGTAACAAGTGCTAAAACTGGTCCTTCTTCTCTGTTGAGTTGTGTGCTGCTGTGCTGATGCATGCAACACACTAGAATACTCAATTGTTAATGTTGATTTATTTATTACACCGTTCTACTATGGAGAGGAATTACCCTTCATTCACTCATGCCTGTCCTCCTTTTCCTGTTTTCACTTTTCTTTTAAGAGGAACTATCAGTCTACATTTAGTCTTGGTGTCTATGTCACAGTCTTGTCAACCCGTCTCTTCTCTCCTTTGCTTCCACTTTAACTAAATGTATCGAATTTATCACTCTTTTGATTCCCTACGTCTCTGTCTGTGGTGGTGGAAAAGTCTTAAGTAATTGAACTTGAATTAAATGAATCATATATTGCACTTTTAGCTTCCAGTTCATCTATGTCCATTCGCAGTTGAGGTTTTTAAGACTAGTACAGTAAACTTGGACTTGTGAGACTCAATTTAGGCAAAAAGTCATTTCCAGAAAGCAGTTTTAAACTCTTAAATGAAACCTGTAGACACCCTAAACTCAAATGCATCTGTGATAGAGTATCAACCTATTTGTTTATGTACTATCTCTGTTCATTTCTTGCTGTGTTGTTTAAATCAGAATCAGCCCTTTAAGTCTTCCTCTCTCATGTTCTCTATTTCCCTGATCGTTTCTTTCTTATTCATATTCACCCTTGTTCTGTGTCTTTAACCCACAGGTCGTGGCGGTTTTCTGTGGCCTGGGCTGAATATTCCGGTGATAAAGAATGGGAATCTGCAGTCCCAGGGACGTAGGGGGGAGACTGAGCAGCAGGTGTTGCAGGCTGAAACAGGTACAGAGGCAGACTGCATTGCATATATACAGACACACAGTTCCTGGACCTGCAGACATACGAAATGAACATAAATGATTAATCGCATGCCAGTGCACGTACTGCTACCATAACACTACAGACCTGTATGAACACACATTCACTCTCATTCATTTGATTATACCCAAATTGTGATTAAATTATATCACTGCTGTCATGAGTGAAGAGGAAATGTCTTCTTCTTTCCTGCCTTTGCTAGTGCATTGCAGCATATCTTGATCAGTAGAATAGTGTGAAGTCATTGGCAGGAATTTACAAAACGGGTCCCACTCGTATAAAAACAGCTCCCTAGCACTATGAGAGGTCAACTCTGCAGGGGGCCTTTAATTTTGAGAAACCCACCACCACCGGTGTGAGATAGAAGCTGCCAGTTTGTCTCCACGGTAATCTCATTTGTTAACAGGAATCGCAAAGTTAATTTGACAGTGACAAATGGCACCTTTGATGTTTATCATGTTGTGCTCTTTGAAGTCAGTTCTCAGGGCTTCAGTGACAAATTTGTTGGTTGTGTCTGCAGTGCGCCAGAGGGATGAGTGGGAAAAGAAGAAGAGGACGAGGGTAAAGAGAGAAAGAGGATGGACGGGAAACTCGTGGGGGGGCGTCAGCCTGGGCCCCCCTGACCCTGGACCAAATGGAGGTAAACACTCATTCAGGGTAGAGACATGTAAATATGGTGTGTTTGTAACACTGGAATTTTAGATCCCGATCAAGATATTCCATCCTTCCAGCTGTAGTTGACTGTAATAATGGGAAAAAAAAGAGATGGATGAAGGTAGTAGAGGAGTGATTTGGGGTATAGGCTGTGTGTGAGACAGACCAGTATGGTGGTCCATTAGGACTGATGAAGATGAGAATGTGACAAGTGTCAAGTGGGATGGTTTCCTAATTTAGAAAGGCATTTCTCTCTCTGTTTCTCCCCTTTTCTTGCTGTATGGGTTTCTATGTGTCTTTTTTTCCTTCTTTTCTCTGGCAGACTTTCTCTCCCAGAACTCTATTCCTTCTCACACTTTTTATTCTCTCTCTTGTTCTACTGCCTCCCCTTTTTCTCCCCCCCTTCCTCGACTCTGGCCTGTTTTATGTGTCTCTCGCCTTCTGTCTCTTCTGTAGTTCTGTCCATTTCCTTTCACTTTTACACTCGGCCTTTCTCTCACCGTCTCACAATTAATTTTTTGCTATTTGTTCTATCCTCCATTCTCCTCTCCACAGCCTCCTCTATTCATCTCTTTCCTCCCACACCCTCTTGTCTTTTTCCTTCTCCGTTCTTGGACTTAAATGACCATGCTGTTCCTCTAAAATATGGCTCTAAGGATGACAAAGGTGGTCAGTCGGTTGGTCAGTCCACCACCTTGGTCCAGACTGAAATCTGATCTTCACAGCTATTGGATGGATTTCTATGAAATTTCCATCATAAAGTACAATTTCAACACCCCATCAGCCTGATCTGTACTTTAGTTTAGTTCTAATGAGCAAATGTTTCGCTAAAACAACTCCGTGAACATGGTAAACATTATACCTGCTACACATCAACATACTAGCATCATTATTATGAGCATGTTAGCAAGGTGGTACGAGCATTTAGTTCAAGTACAGCCTTACAGAGCTGCTTACATGTCTGTAGACGGTGTTCATTAACGAGCCATTCACTACAATTGTATTTTGATATTCTGTATTTATTGCCAAGAACTGTTAAACTATCTAACCATTCAGATTAATTAAGCTGCAGGCAGAGACGAAGTAAGGAAAAGTCTGAACAAACATTTTGACCCATGATAGCGGAAATCTGTGTATAGCCCGGGGGTCATATGGTAGAAAAAATATTAGCTGTGGATGGATTGGTAAACCAAGCGAATACATTAATAAATTGTGTGAACAGATTTTTCTAAACTGAGTATGTGGTTTTCAGGGACATTTTGAAGTAATGCTTCTGGAATATGCATCTGGCTTTCAGAATAAAAACTGGGAATAGGCACTGCTCTGAGCGGCTTATTTTCACTCTGTTACGTACAGCATACAGAAAAGGACACGTTATAAATTAAGCCACTTTTTCACCATATGGTACGGCTCGACTCGACTACTCTCTTGTTTTTGGTTTTCCTTTATGTACAGTACCTTGTACTTTTTTTATCAGCTCATTTGAGCTTCAAAGTGAGCTGAGCTGATACTTAAACACTGTAGACTACTTATTGTCTAGCAACACGGGACATCCTGCACAAGCCCATCATTTTAAAACAGTCAAGCTACTATCAATGACGACCACGATTTTATTTATTCCTTCAAAAATGGCAGACAGCAAAGGCACGCCATGGTCAGTTGATGAAGTACAGACGTATCTAGAACACCATTCCTTCATATGTTATAAGAGTAGCAGCTTCTTTTTGTGTGCGTAGTGAGAGAAACGGAGAGAAAGAGCGAGCAGTACAGAGGGAAAGAGAGCAGTGAAGTTGTCAATCATCCAGTAAATGTACAGTGTAGGTTACAGTTTGTCACTGAATAAAGGCAGCAGCAACTCAAGACCAAAATAAAGCTACTTCTTGTTTCCTGGTTGTTTCCCAACTGGAATATTGTCTGTGTATTCACACAGTTTAGAAATCAGTTCATATTTATTTAAGTATACACTAAATATATTTTATAATTTTAATAACAGTAATAATAATGATTCCACTCCATTTAGCTGAATGCACAACACTTGGTCCCTGGCAAACCTAAATAGAATACAGCCATTATTAATACCGTTAGTTACACGTGTGTTTTCCTTCTATTACATGCCATTATATCTTGTCTTCTTCCTGTTTTTATGTTTAAGATTTTAGTTTTTTAATTGACTGCCAGCTGTACAACAAATAACCTTTCGGAGACAATAAAGACCCACTAATTAATTCTTTGAGCTTTTAGTGTAGCCATATAAATGGTCAAGTTTGAGTAGTATTCAGAAGATGAAGACCCAAGATCATCAGTTTCTTCCTTGTGGAGCAGGAGGGTTTACATTAGGACTTTAGGTTGAAGGTTGAATGTAATGTTGTGTACAGTCTCTGAAGGTGCATCTGCAGCCTAATCAACACTTCATTACAAACCCAGAGGAACACAGCAGGTTCACATTCACCTGATTCACTGAAGCTGCTAGCCTCCTGTTCCCAGCCTTGGCCTTTGCTGTCAGAATTGAGTTTAGCCCTCTTACCTCAAACTTCTGTTTGATGAAGAACGAGACTCCGTCGTTGCAAAGCAGATTTTCTTGCTTCTTCCTCCCCCCTCTTGCTGTGTCTTTTTCTTTTATTTCCTCTTGATATTTCCTTTCTCTTGTTGTTGTGCTAACAAGCTCTCACACCGTGAAATACACTAGCGCTCTCTCTCCTACATGTACAAACACTTCCTTCAACACACACACACACACACACACACTGTCGCTCTCACTCACACATAAATACACAGTAGGCCTGGTGAATGTGATGTTCAGAGAGCTGTAACTAGGTTGCTCGTCTCCGGTCGGGTTTAGTTTCTTACAGATGGTGAGCTAATGTCCCAGTTGAGAGCTGTGTGTGCGTGTGTGTTTGTTTTCTGCTCTGAGCCTTTGAGTCAGCTCTCCTTTGTTTGTTGTTAATTGCTTAGAAGTGAACAGGCTGCTGTTGGGAGAGTAACATCCTTCAGAGGTCACTGACAATGAAAAGTGTCAACTCGTTACATTGCTGCAAGGGCTTCTGGGTATTTGTTACACTAGCAGGAGCCTGGTTTAATCTGTTTAAAGTGTGTGTGTGTGTGTGCGCATGCCTCTGCCCAAATGTGTCTGTGTGAAAGCTTTTCTTTTCTTTTTAAATCTAAGCATCTTCCTCTCTTTACTCCTCTCTCCACAGAAATCTATAAGGACTTTGATTCACGTGTCATTGAGGTGAGTGTCTCTCTTTCTGCTCACTAAACGGATCATAAATTGAGATACAAGAACACAGAAGCTTGAATTATCAGCAGCTGTTTTTAATAAATCTCATTATTCCTCACATCACAGGTTTTATTTAGATTTATTTAATTTACTTTTCTATTTACGTATTCATTCATTGTAATTAATTTCCTCATAACTCATAATGTCAGTTACATTTCCTGTCAAATAGCCTTGGAAAACATTTACCAGTCGGTGTTTTTCCCAAGTATCACACAAAAACGTTTTAGACATTGGCTACAATGAAAACTGCTTAAAGACCAGTGTGTAGGATTTAGTGGCATCTAGCGGTGAAGTTGCAGATTGCAACCCCCTTGCCTCACCTTCCCTTTCCAAGCATGTAGGAGAAACTAAGGTGGCCGTGAAACTCACCCAAAACATAGTTTTAGATTTATTTTCAGGTGATTGTACACAAATGAAAACACCTATTAATATCATATTCCATTTCTGCTAAATTCTGGGTGGGGGGTTCTCGTCAGATAACTGAGAATATAATATGCTGCCCAGTAGCAAGCAGTGTACGGACCAGTCACTGCTCTAGCTATATCAGACTGTACAGAATAATGATGCAGAAACCCTCAGAGGGGTGAAACTGTTTTCAAGAAACTCAAAATAGTGGAAAGTTCAGTGTAGTGTGTACACATGGATGGTGTTGGAGGCAAATTCGCTGAGCAAGGATAGCTGCAGTTGAGCTTGAAATTTTGTCATTTTGCAGCTGCAGTGTGGGGAGATAAGATGCTTAATATAAAATATTCAGTTGACATGTATTTTTGGTGCTTCCTGAGGCCAAATAGTGTCATTTCTAAAGTCACATTTGCATCTGTATTTGATAAAAAGCAAAAAAAAAAAAAAGTAATCAACCCTAAAGCTGTGTTGACAAAAAACATTTTCTACAGCGAGCAGCTCATCCAGAGCTCCAGCAGGGTAATATGTTAGACCTTGGTAGTTAGGGATCCTTCATTTTGAGGATGATCTTGTTTTGAAGGCAGAGAACTCACCTCATTAGATTGAACTAAAATATAGAAGAGCTCTGCTGAAAGGGGCGTTATCATGGTGCAACAACCTAAAACACTGTTGGCGAGTAGCTGAAGCAGCAACTGTCCAGTCCAGTTGAGCCCACATCATGATTAAACCCACAGGCTGCTGGCCCTAAATGCTCTAGCGTGTGTGTCTGCGTGTGTGCACATGTGTGCGTGAGAAGAGATAATCTGTATGGACAGGCCTACTTCATTTACACGCACGCACAAACACATTAACTTGCACTGGGGTACACATTCCCAAATTTTAGTCAAACACATTCTGTACATAGACTCTCTGTCACACAGTATACATACGCACACTGTGTGTGTGTGTGTGTGTGTGTTTGCGTGTGTGCGTGTGTGTGTGTGTTTGCGTGTGTGTGTGTCTGTGTGTTTGCCTGTGTGTGTGTGTGTGTGTGTGTGTGTGTGTGTGTGTGTGTTTGTTTGTTTGTTTGTTTGTTTGTTTGTTTGTGTGTGTCACATTGATAGTCTTCCCCAGCCCTCCTGCTTGCATAATTAAGAGTGGTGTCACAGACATTAGGCTTCCCCCTGGAAACTGACGGACACTTTTACGGTGCCATCTCCCTCTATAAATATATCCTGTGCGTGTGGGTGTGAGTGTGTGGGTGTATGTACATTTGGGTGTGTGTGTGTGTGTGTGTCACTATAAATTCAGGCCTAATGAAATGAAAAGGCTTACTGGAATAAAAGGCTCCCAAGGACGATGATGCCGGCATGCCATTAGTGAACGCATCCAGCAGCAGCAGCCGGAGGAGGAGGGGGAGGGAGGGAGGGTGGGTAGAGAGAGCAGGAGGAGCAAGAAAAGTTGTGAGATTGAGTTAAGAAGTTGGAAGGAGAGAGAGACAGAGTAAAGAGAGAAGAGAACGGTATAAGCAGTAGAGCAAGACTGATACAAGGTGTTATTTGATTGATTTGTTAAATCATTGGAATACATATTTAAATATATTTAAAACATATGGACTCCTGTATACTCTACTCTAATGATTTTCAGTTTACTGTAATAAATACTTATGGTTAGTTATTATTCTAAAGTATCACTATTTGTGGAACAATTTCTGAGTTTAGGCTATTTCTGTCATAGGCAATGCGTGTTTCAGTAGTAAGGCCAAAAACAGATTAAAACAAAAAGAAAAAAAAGGTTTGGAGGAGAGCCAGCCACAGAATCTGAATCCGCATTGTCAAAATCTCCCAGTCCAGTTGATTTGATAAATTAAAATCCAATCCAATCCGACGTCATTCAATGAGGTTTCCAACAATAAAGCTGCTGCTCTCTTCAGCGTTGTTTCCTGCAGCAGTTGTGTTAAGGGGCTACGGCCATAGTCCTCAAAAATGTAACTGCATGTCAGGGTTGAGGCATCAACAGAGATACCACATTGGCTCATTGTGTTTTCCTCTGCATGTGTCTGATGCCGTTGGAGTTTGTGGAAGTAAATGAAGTAAATAGAGCCTGACGTGTGGCAGAAATACGACTCCAAATAAAAGTTCATGTTGCTCTTTGCATGCAGGTTGTGTGAACACGCAAGTGTTTGCTAACACAGGTAAAGGTAAAAATATTTACATTTTGTGTATACGACTTTATGTGTCCCCAACGAGTCAAAAAAAAACTAATTAATGCAGGGTAAGGTGGAGGTGTGTGAGGACATGCACGAGTAGAACACAGAAACAGCAAATGAGAAAGATGCACCATAATGTATAGTTCAATTCAATAACATTACAAACTACAGCTACAAAAAAAAAAAAAAGCAGGTCTCTGGCACAGTCTCAGTAAGAAGTGCAATCAGTTGGACCTTTAGAGAGATGAAAAAGAGAGCGAGGGATGACAGAGAGCAGAGGTAACAGTAAAGAAAAGAGAATGAGAGGAGAGTTAGAGCGACAGAGAGAAAAGTGATGTTCATGGCCTCTCTCCAGGTACAGCAGCTACTTGGACAGGACTCAGCGATTTCATTAACAGAGATGGAGCGTTGTCGGTGTCAGAACAGGGGTTTTTGTCTCTCTCTTTTTTTTTTCTCTCTCTGTCCCTGAAGTCAACAACCTTGAAAGTTTTGTTGAAAGTAAACAGCGGGCTGCGTGATGGCAGCTTAGCGAAAACTTTCAATTGGATTAAATGTTGGATTTTAACCGCCATGTGGAGCTGAACAAAGCTTGCACAGAACTTAATATCTGTGAAATTCTCATAAAGGGCTTTAAAGCCACTTGATTATTAATTAGTTAAAAGCGTTACTTATATTTGTTTTGATGGTGGTTCGTAGATGTGGACGCATTGACTGAGATATAAAATTGCAGACTAGTAATACACATTTTAGTTTCCAATTAAGATGTTTTTAATAAAAGCAACGTGGAGCTGTTGAAATTACTAGAGGAGCTAATTTCTCACAAACCGTGAATATTCACTTAAATTGGCTCTAAATTGCCAACAAACTCAGCGGTTTCAATTAAATGTGAGAAATCCAATCCGATTTTTGTGTGTGAGTTCTGTTGTAAGATACTTTTATCTCATTATCTCTTCACACATAGATCATACACCGTGTGTAAAAGACAAATTCACATCAGTTACATTTATTTTGTCTTGTTTTCTCTTATTTACTTACACAAGCACACACATACGCTTCCAACTCATTTGCATGATTAATACATTCCTGAGCCAACACACTTATTGTTTTTATGCTCAGTGTTCATAATGTCCTTTAAGGCCACCAACCCGATTATCGGCCGTCGGACGCCGTCGGACAGTCGGGCGAGTTCGGTGACTCGAGTCAGTTCGGTGTGTCCCGTGCCGTCATCAGTCGGAGTCGGCGTCGGCGATCATTTCGGCCAATTCGATATGTAGAATCGGCCAGTCGCTGTCGGCCTCAATGACCAATCTAATTGGGGGAGTGCTAACCCTTGACTAGCGAATCAGTGACTGCACGAGAAAACCGGAAGTGACGATGGTAAACGTACTACGCCAACACCAGTATCTTGCTGTTATTAACCATCGTATTTTCCGTTCAGTGAGTAATGACAATAACAACCTTGTTGACTTCTATCAACACTCTCTGATGAAAACAATGACTGACGACAGCGTGCTCTGTGTTTACTAGGTCTAGAGTGATCCGTCATTTCCGGTTTTCATTGGTTTTGGGCAACAACACAGATTAGCGCCGCCTGCTGTTATGGGGACGTATTATGCCTCGCGCAGAACGTACGCTCCAGTCGGCGTCGGTTTGGTGTGTTCCGAGGCACTTTTTTGACCGACTCGAGGAGACGGGAGCCGACTTATCAGTCCGACTGCTTTACTGGCGACGGTCGGCTGTCGGGTTGGTGTGTCCTGGCCTTTAGACATCAGTTGGTCATGTCGTTTATACCAACACACATCTCTTCTTCGGAATGATCTACAATGACAGCAGGTCAGAGGTCTCTGTAACATCATTTTAAAACAATTCAAAGTTTTCAGAAATCATATTGTGACTTCTTATCTTACAGTGAATCAAACATAATATTAACGTTTTGCTTTTATTAGAGTTTCATTGGAAGTTTGCAATCAGCGGGATTTCTGGACAGACTTTTGGTGGTGGGTCTGAGATTTCATCCCTTAGGTTATTATCGATTTTTAACCAAAGCGAGAATATTTTTATTCCTAGCTAAAAGATTTGGTGTAAAGATAAAAACAAAATGCAACAAAGTGCAATGAAGACACACATTTTGGCTCCACTGGAGAGATGAAAAAACAGCCGTTACCTCAAGGCTGTTAAATTTCAGTATTCACATAGTGGTAGTGGATGCAAACTGAATCATTCATCTTTTTTTTCTGTAAATTTGGTTAAAATTTATGCTACATTTAGATGGAATTCCACATCCACTTGTTTCAGGTTTGCCCATCTAGCCTTTAACTCATCACAGGTGCCAAAAACAAATTGCGATCACATGCCCGACAAT